GCAGAAAAGTAACAGCAGAGATGACAGGAGTGAGACATTAAGGGAAAAGAGGGCGTTTAAAAGCACTGTGAGATCAAATAGACCAGGGGAAGCAACCCCAAATCTGGTATTAAGAGGTCTGCAGCTTTTGTCTTCCTGTTGCTCCAGCTTCTTAGATGAGAATTGGAGTATTTCCATGGCTGGATATAAAAAGTGTGTTAGTCACTGGGAAGTGTAGGAGCCCTTTGGAGACGCGACCAGGCAGATTCTTCTATTCCATATGGAATTGCAGGCAGAGCAGTGATCTTTTGCTGCCCTCCAGCTGTTTGCTGCCTGGTGAAAGTAAGTTTGTGCATCAAATTAGTCCATGATTTTCCCTGTTTGGATAATGTTGTTTGGTGTTTCACTTTTTCTTCCAGCTTTATTTTAGTATCTTGAGAAACTGATTACATTACTGTTACTGTTTGTTTGTTTCCTTTTTGTCTTTTTCCTTTAACTGCAAGGTAGTTTCATATATTTTGGATGGGGGAAATGCAGAATGTTAATACGTAGAGGTTTTAAGGCTGCTGAAGAAAGTCTTAAGGAAGCTACAGAGCTAGTAATGTATGCTGTTGACAAATTTTCTCATAAACAGGAAAAAGAGATGGGAGTCACTGTATTTCAAACTGGACAGTCACAGAATTCCTCTCCCTATTGTTGAGGTCTTTAATGTATGATCCTGTATCCCAATCCAGTGGGAGCACAACCTGCAGTACGTGTAAATGAACCACTGGTACATTGTTGCATATATGTGGTTGTTTTCCAATCCATGCTTTGCTTCTAGTCTCTGCTGTAGGATCTAATGTGAGGAAGAACAGTTTTGTTGAGAAAAGGCTCAGCATTAACAGATTCTCAGTTACCTTATTAAATACTAACTAGACTTCTAAAAGTATCTTTTAAAAAAAAATGCTTTGTTGTCTTTTAGTTGTCTCCATTCACAGCTCAGGAATTGCCCTATAATAGTTATTATTATGTCGCCAGAATTGTAGTAGAGAGCTTATCCAGAGTTTCTTTACCTACATGAATCCTTGAAAATATGAGCTTTCTGTAAGTCTCTCTTCTCTGAGAGCTAATTGCATTGGGAAAAGTGAGTTTCTGTAAAAGGAATAGGATAGTAACACCACAAAATACATACAGTTGTTATGGTGTTTATGAAGTGTCCTGAATTGGAAACAAGACATCAGTCACAGTGAAGTGTTATACTCAAAATTCTTTTAGTTCATGGGAAAGAATACCAGAGAATTGATGATGATTTTATTCTGAATTTGTTGTACTCTCTTTCAGGCTGAGATAGCTCAGCTTCAAGAGGAATTAGCCCTCAAAGATGCAGAAATAGAGCGCTTACAAAGTCAGCTATCTAGGACCTCATCGCATAGTGAAGTGGCAGAAAGAGGTAAGAGCACGGGAAAATAAAATTAAAAATCCAAACTCCCATTTTAACTTCATTTTGGTAGCAGCCTGGCTCAGTATTTCAAAGGAATACAAGGAGATACATGAATGGACTTACAGAATTAATTTGGGAGGAAAAATAGTGCAAATTTACTTTTTCTTCTGGCCAAGTAGAGACCTTTAGTGTGTGATATTCTATCCCAATCTAGAGGTAGCACAAATTGCAATAAGTATCCTAAAGGCACTGAAACTTTTTCTATTCGAATGTTATTTATAATTTGAAAGAGTCATTGTATTTCAGTGGGAATACTTTTTGTGTGTGTGTGCATATAACAAATCTTTACAGTGTCATTTTTTAAGGAGAAAAAATCATCACAGTATTAACTAAGCATAATGTTTAAATGTCCAAACATTCTAAAACATAGTCATTGATTCATGTCTTTCATTACTTTAGGACTGTATCTCGTTTAGGCTTTCTTTCCCATGAAAGGTTGTACCAGATAAGTCTTTTGTAGTCCCTTCCAACCTGAGATTTTCTATGATTCTGTGATATTGCAGGTCTCTGTTTTAAATCTGCACTGTTGATACAGGTCAATGGCAAATAAACCAGTTTGTTTAGCCTTTGGTCTCAACCAGTCATGTCACAGTTCTCTGAAATATTGACTCCCTGGGGCTTCTGTGAATTGCTGGCCTGTGAGCAATGTGATATCAGTGACCTTCTTCTTCCAGAATACTGACATTTATCCATGCAGGGATATTTGTGTGTAGTTTACCACAGTGCCTTAGCTTAGCTGCACTAATGTCTTTTGTGGGTGTTAACTAATGCTTCCAAAGAGTGCCCTTGTGGAGATGTGACTTTCCAGGTGCTGTGCTACCTCCTTCTCAGGGCTTCCCAAGAATCTCCTGACAGGAATTAACACAGATGGGTCTTTTCTAGAAGTGTTTTGACTGTTGTTTATTCCAGAGAAGTGACTTAACATATACTTGGTGCTGATTTCACTCAGCTGCAGAGCTTGTGCATGTAGAAGATGGCATGTCTAACAGCAGCATTTTGTAGAGGAACTCTTCTACTAATAGAATTTTGTGTTTTCTATGAGATTCCCAAATAATTCATGATATCTTAAAGGAAAAATAGTGATATGACAATAAATCAAGAGCTCTGCAACTTTTACCTTCTAGTAGCATGTCTCTTCCTCTTCATACTGAAGATGGGTGAAACCTGATTCCTGTTGGAGAAGAATCAAACCCTGTACAGTTTCTTTAGGCTACATTTAAGGAAACTACTTAGACTATATTTGAATGTAATCAGTATGCAGCAGTAATAATTCTTTTGGAAAAAAAATAGAATAAAATAAATATTGACTTACCAGATTTATAGGTGGTCTTCTCAAATAAAGTTGAAAAATAATGTCAATGTATTTGTAGAATGCTAGAATGCATATTCTACTTAAATTGCAAAATTTATCTAATATGTGCTTTTTCTACATACTTTATTTGACTCTCACCATTTACCATCATAGAGGAAGTTTATAGGAGAAGGCTAAAAGAAAAACGTAAGCCTTACAATTCACCTTTGGCTCTATCTCACTGTTCCTTTCAAACAAATTATAACTCAGATGCATTCTGCAGCAATAATTCTATGTTTGTTTAGATTTGACTAATTTTAATATACATGAGACATTGCTTCCATTGCTAGCAGCAAGCAGACAGCTAGTTGCCCTGTTTAGTAAAATTTCACTTTAGAAAAAAAAGTCAGAGGTTCACAAATCAGACAGCTGGACTTCAAAGAGACGTTGTCAAGGTTAGCAGAGCCAAAACTTAACCTTTACTTCTTTCCAATTGTGCATATGTAAAATCCATATAATACCTGGAAAGACAGTTTTAATTGAAAGCCTCCATCCTTGGAGGGTAAGAATTTGGGCTAATTTGTAATTGCTGCAGTAAATTAAAAAAAAATTAAAAACACCCAAAACCCAACAGTCTGCATAAAAATGCTTTCATACTTGATGCTATCATAAATATTTTAAGTAAAGTTTACTTTAATCTGGTTAAAAATACCTTGACACTAGTTCTTTTTGAAGTCTAATAATTATAAAGAGAAATTAGTAGGACTGTGATTTTTAATGGCTTTTAAAAATCTTCCACTTGCTTGCCTGCTGTCTTTAGTTTTTGATTTGGCTGTGTCTGTGCATGTCTTGTGTTCCTAATTGTTCTCGTTTGCAAGGTTCGCGTACATATTTAAAAATTAATCATTGCAAAGTGTGTTTTCTTAGAATCACAACAAGAAAAATAATTACAATTTTTGCAAATAGATTAGATTCAATATTGTATCTTCAATGTGCAGTTGTAAAATATTTTTGAGTATGTTTTTGAGCAGTATTGATTTTTATTTTTTTTCCACTTTGTGCCTGCCACATGTTTTTCATACTCTTTTGTGAAACAAGTGGGTCTGTTTGATGTCAAGGCATAAACCTTGATTGACAGTTACAACACTTAAACTCTTTCAGGTTCTGTCTCCATCACCCACACTTGATTTACGATAGATTGGTACTGGATGAATCGCTAGGACCTGCATGTAGAGAAGAAATGAAAGAATTGATTCAGCAAAGTTAGAATGATGTGATTAACAACTTCATAAATTTCAGAGTGTGTTGTAACTGGTCCAGCTATAACATTCTGAATAACCTCTATCTTTCAACCCTAAATTTTGTGTGAGGCAATTCTGTATTAGTTCTTGATGTATATTGTAACTTAGTTTTTTATGCTGAAATGTTTTAAGAAAGAAAATGTGCAAATTTTCCTCGTATCAAACTAGGTTTTGTTGGTTCTCATTTTCAAGTTTCATGAATGTCCTTCTACTATTTCTCATAAACTGGCAAATGTTTTTCTCAGATGGAATATAATTGGGTTTCAATCATACTTACAATTACTTCCTTAAATATATAACAGCAAACACACTCTCATCTTTTGCAAAATAAGTTTCAAAATTTCCTTTTTTTCATTACTTGTCTTTTAGAGTATAAAATAATATTATGTAGCTTTTTGTAAGCAAAACCAGCATGTTTGTGTTGTGCAACGCTTTTAATAGTTGAGCTTTTGAAAAGCTTGAAGTTAAATGTAGTTTAATGGTGCATTTGCCATGACACTGACATGGTTTTGGTTACTCTTCAGAACATAAGGAAAGTATCACAAAACATACATTGTTTACGCTAAATATACCAAGTGTGTTTTCCTTATAATAATATTTAAACATTTTTAGATCAAGAAGTTCAACGGCTGAAGATAGGAATGGAATCATTATTGGCTGCAAATGAAGAAAAGGTGAGAAAACGATCCTCATTCTACATAATAAGAATCGAATGATGGGTTTGAGTCTCTGTTCTGAATAATCAAAAAACCAGAGAGCAGGTTATCCCATGAGATTGTGACAGAAGGTTAATCTTTAAATAGAAAATGTGACTGACCTTGCTAACTTGGCTGCAGAACTTGGGAAGATCCTTAGATTTCAGAGGCTAGTAGAAAGCCAAGGCTGTAATGAGCAGAATCTCCTGGTTTCGGCTGTTGAAGAGATCATTAAGGTTTGGTCATTTTGGGCAGCTCTTCATCTTGCAATGTAATCCTGCTCTGGCAGGGGGATTGAACTACATGATCTCTAGAGGTCCCTTCCAACCTCAAACATTCTGTGATTCTAATCTGCAGTTATTTCATTGGTTCTGTACAAGTTTGACTGCCTAAGTTCAAAAATGGGTGTTCTAAACTGGAGTAAGTGTAGATGTTGGAATGCAGAACATATCCTACAAGAGAAATTTAAACAACATGGCTAGATTGTTAAATTACATGAACATAAACATGGTTTATTTTACGATTACACGTGCGATGCTAACAAAAAACCCTAATGCAGGCAACTGAGGTTCAACTCTAGAATATTCCCTTGACTCTTCTAAGCAAAAGCAGATTTTCAAATTATGCTTCTGTAAATATCTAATTTACTAGTAAGGTCAACCTCTTCTGGTTTCCTTATATCCGTGATTTCACACTACCTAGTAAATACTATGTATGATGGCAAATAAAAGCCAAGAAACATTTCTTACAAGACATGTGAGAGACTTGACCCGCTTTCTGGAAAAGTAGGCCTAAATCAGAAACGAATGTGTAACACAATGTTTCTGGAGGTTAAAAATCTAGGATTTAAAATATTGTATTATTTAATGCTTTTCACAGGACCGCCGAATAGAGGAGTTAACACTGTTGCTAAGCCAGTACAGGAGGGTCAAAGAGATAATGATTGCTGCTCAAGGTAAAATGTCTTGTGAATTATTTCCTAATATCAGGTCTTTTTAAAACTGTATGCACTACAGATGCTATTTGTTGTCCTTTTAATATATGTGTATAGTGACGCATATTTTATTATGCGTGTATTTGTATCATACTGGAGTGCTCTTCCAAATGCAGAGAACCACAGTATGTCTTGACCAGCCTTCCGTGTTATTGCCTGTAGTTTGTAGAGATTTCCTTTGTTTTCTGTACTGTAGGCACTACAAGAAAATAGAGTCAAATCTGGCTGGAGATTTAGTTACAGCATTGCTATTCAGCAAATGTTCTGTGACTGAATCTTGTGCTCAACTCCATAAGTCAAAACCTAAAATTTGTTCTGTGTCACTTAATAGTAAATTCCTCCTTGGAGCCCAGTTTTGGTGCTATATGTTGTTTTGGACGGTGTCGGTAAGGATGGTGCTTGCTGAGGAAGGCCGACTGGCGAGATGACTGCTCTGGCTGTCCAGCCGTGTGCGCTGCAGGGCAGGTCGGAGGTGAAGCACTGCAGCTTGCCTCCTTACGTGCCAGGGCGACCTGAAGTCAGCAATTGCTCTTCTTAAAACGCTTTGCTGGGTACTGCAGTGGGGCAGGAGTGTTGATTGCATCCACAGAGCAGTGACTGGGTGGACAGCTGGGGCCAGGGTCTTATTAGCTACTTTGTGCAGTCCCGTCCCTCCTCCAGTCTCCTCCGCAGCGCAGGCCTGTGACAGGTGTCCTTCACGGCCAGAGCTTCGTGCTTCCTTTTCCACTGCGGCTAGTTGCCACCTCTCAGCTGGATGTGGGTCCTAGAGGCCAGACCAAAAGGAATTAGAGCAAAAAGGGTGAAAAGGAAGGAGCAAACAGCAGGGCATTCGTGCAGACATACAATTTGTCAAAACAGAGGTAACTAGGAAAGTTCATTCAAATTAGCTGAAGGCATGAATTTACAGTATTCTTATGAAAATGCATTATATCCCTCTCAAGAATGTATTATTTAAAATTCAGCCAACATTCAGTTTCATTTAAATTCATTAATCTGTAGGAGTTGAATAAAATATACAGATGGGTATTAAGCTCATATGGTGTTTTCTGTGATTATTATGAGCAACCAGTTTTTACAGTGTAAAATGATACAGTGAGAGTTTAGTGGATTATGAATATTAATTAAATGGAGCTCATATTCATATTTTCTACACCACAGTTTCCTTCAGGAATGGCAGTCATGACCAGCTGTCAGCCAGCTAGCATTAACAACACAATGTTTTCCTTTTAGGTCATGCTTTTATATGGCATTCACAAAAGGGAAGCTGATCTCTGGTGCAATTTGATACTGTTAGGAGGACGTTTTTCTTTTTTGCTAAGGAGAGTTGCAATCAATGGAATAGGTTCTGTTGCCCTTCCCTTTCACTAAAATAATCCTGACAGACGACTAGGCAAGTTCTGGTCTGGAGGGAACAACTGAAAACCCATGGTTGCTTTGGTGCACACAGTATTATATATTTGACTTCAAAATCTGGAGGAAAATATCCAGTTTCTCAGTTATGCGGCAGAAAGTGGAGTGGGTTTTAGGACAATCTCATTTTAAGTTGCCACCTTAGTTTTCAGTACTGCATTTAGTCTGGGAAACTTGATCTTCTGAAATGCTGGTTCTGTTCAGCTTACACCACATTAACAAACACAATATTTTTCAGGTCTTGTATGGCAGAATGGAAACTTGTATTTAACACACAAGAATAGGGAACGAGAGTCAGGTAAATATCTCTCTGAATGTTCATTTTAAAAAAAAAAGAAAAGTCTCTCTCTTGAAAGTGCTCTGAAAGGAAATCGAAAGGTGTGATTGTAGCTTTTGGGGACACAGGGATATCCAGTATAATGAAACAAAAACAAACCTCCAAGCCTGTGTATGAACTGGAGTGTGGGCTGGGATTGTCTATACCGAGGTGCAGACTGTGATGGCTATGAAATTATCACAGCCCAAATGAGCTTATTACCTTATGTTTGGTTTTGGAAGTCTCACGTTTAATTTGCCAAGAAATCTCTCTTGATTATTTTTTTATTTTTATTTCTAGAGTTTTGTTTTAAAGGTTCTCTTTGAAGCCTAATCTCTGCATAAAACTTTTGGTAGAACCAATGGGTTGATATTTTGTGTCTCTGATAATTGTTTCAAGTAATTACTTGACATAAACACAATATATTGTGTTTGTTTCTGCTTAAGGCAAACTTAAGGTGCATGTGGCACTGCATTATGATACAGACAATGGCAACACGCACGCTGCCTGTACAGTGATTTACTGTAAGACAGTGGTACCAACTTGAACTTGCCTCAGAATATCAAATTCTCAGCTGGAGTGGTTCAGAAGCTGCCTCATAAGCAGCTCAGCTACTCACAGCACAGCATATAGCTAGAAATGATAAATTTGTTGCGCTACTATAAATGAGTTTGCTCCTAAGTCAGAGCCCAAAGTAGGGGTGGGGAGTGGAGGCTGGTAAACTGCCTGCATGAAGGGGAATTTAGGGACTGAAGTATTTAAACTATCTGATACGGTCCTAAATGTTGGAATTTTTGGCCTGTTTCTCTCCCTTTCTACTTCTAATATTTAATGCTCGCAGGCTCTTCTGTCTCTGGTGGCAGTGAAGAGGAACTTGAGACAACTTTAAGGAAGTGGAATCTTTTAAGTAGTCCTCAAGGAGAGTTACTGAAAACAGAGGTACTTAGTAAAGATATTTTAGAAGCTGTATATATGATTTGTTTTTATTGGTTTCTCCGTAGTAGCTAATGTAGATGCAGGTTTGGACCTGGCTGAATTTTTGTACTTCTGGGCATGGGTATGGTAGCTTCAGAATTGGGCACTAGAGTTACTGTCCTGAACCTCCTGTATTTTGCATAGGCCTCTTCAGGAGAACTGTCACCAGCTCTGCTCTCTCCAGTGCCACACAAAGCTATGGAAATCAGGCAAGACCTTTATTTCTTGTTTTTCATAAGGATTGTCCAAAGTCTGTATTATTTAATCTGCTTCACTGTTGGCATTTTGTCTTGCCTGTTCTTGGCTTTGCAAGAAGTTTTCGGCAGTTGTGAAAGCAGTGTTTGCCATGACAGTCTGCAATACTTAGTTGTATAAGGTTTGAATTACAGGAATAAATTGGGACTTTTATCAGAAGATATATGTACTGTAGTACTTAAACCAGTGTATTTCATTCTGATTTAAAGTGGAAGCATTCCAGTATCTTTAACCTCTCCACAAGAAGAATCTTCGGAAATCACAAATAGGTAAGAGAGTAACTTCAATTGAAATGTATAACATACAGCCAGATTTTTTTCTTACATAATTCTGTCTCGTTCTGTTTTTAAAATCCTTTAATGCTATACACTGCTCACAGAGATGTAAAACTGCCTATTTTCACTTTTTAAGACTTCTAAGAAGTCACCTTATATGGAGGTTTAAAGCTGTACGTTGCACCTTGTTGCCTTTCATAGTTGATCAAAGAGTGTCTTGTTGCTATTTCTGACTTCATCTATTGCAGGTCCCAATACTGTGAGTCTTAGGCTAAAAATACAAGAAAATAAATGAATCTCCTCATCCTGAATTATGTGATATATACAGCTCTCACGATACAGCTGTGGCATATGCAAATGTATGATGTTGTATTAACTGTTGGGTTTTTGCCTGTCATTGTTTTAAGGGCTCCACAGAAAAAAAAGTCAAGTAGTTTAGAAGACTTGCAGAGTGAATCCCTGGAAAAGGTTGGTTTATTTGTAATTTCTGCTGTTTAATATCATGACTGAAAGATAAAGGTCAAGTATAAATATTCTTTTTGTTTCACATACAGTAACCCTAACCACCACTGACACTATGTGGGGGAAAAACAACCCTAATGATAAAACATTTCTTACACCACTGCCAAGCTTAGAATAAGCAAACTAGTTACACCCATATGTATGCATCCTCAAATTTAGTTATTCACAAGAAGACAAATATTTAAGAGAAATATAACAAATAATGTTAATGAGGAGTCATTTTGTTGAACTGCAGTATTTTGTTTACAGGTGTTAAATAATTTTGACTTCCAAACGTTAAGGCAGCAAGTCCCGAAAGTAATTTTATATGAAGACTAGGTATTTCCACATGGGATTCCTTTCTGAGCATCTGCATGTAAATATGATCCTCGCTCCCTAACTTAAACTTTTGATATAAGTGGCATGCCTGAAGGTGGTAGTGATGCTGCCTTAAAGACAGCAGGAGTGCTGTTACTAATTCAAAGGCTTAATTCATTTGCAGAATAAAGACTTCCCAATTTGCAAAGTCTCATTTACATTATGGTCTAGAGGCTTGTTTCGTCATAACGTACACTGCACTTGTAATTATGCTTTGTGAGACTGTTATTGACACTCTCTGTACTCAAATGAGGCTTCATACTACATTACCCACACCCAGTAATTCCAGTTCTTTTTATTTTCTTCATTTTCTTTTTAAATCTCAGGATGACAGAGACCAAATAGAATGTTTAAACTTTGTGTTATACTCATTTTACTGTGGTCATACTTATGACAAATCAGTTCAGAACTAACATTTCATTCTGTCTGGAAGTTACAAAGGTCTGTTTTCTTTTCATAACTTTTGAATTATTTTCCTGTCTTAAACTCAGAAACTTAATTTGTCTCTATGATGTTATGTGACAAGGCTGCACCTTACACATTTAGGTTATAAATTTGCTCCACCTGAAATCAGAGTCCATAGACGAACAAGAACCTGCAGGTTCAGCAAGGCCTAATGCAGGCATGAGGCTTCTTAGTGAGATAACCGAGACCTCTCCATGTGTCTGAGTGACTAAATGTGAATTGTTTACAACCAAAACTAAGGCCCAGAAGACTTGGTTTGGTGACTCAGCATGACAAGATTTTGGTTCTTGCATTAAGTCCAAGAGAGCCTGTGCTAGCAGCAGTGTTTACTGGAGCTATTCTACTCTGCACAAAACTCAAATCCCAATTATGTCCTGCAATAATAATAATAATGAAGTATACCATGTTGGTATCTCTGACGTAGCCATGCTGGCATTTTTATCATTTCATTTCTATCACAGCTCTTTATAGTTTTAACTGGATATGTACAGAACTGTGTAGGTTCTTTTTTCATGTCGGTTATTTCTATGTTGTCTTAACTGTTACATTCCCATCTTGGAGTAAGTCTAAAGAGAATGCTCAGAAGCCTGAAAGAAGAAAAATTTCTTTGATCACAACAGAACCTAAACAGGTTTTGTAGAGTGCTTTGTATAAACACATCCAGTATTAAATATTTCACTGAAATTAAATGAAGAGATAACAGACCTTGTAATATATTGTCAATACATGAAGTAGCATCGCTGTAGTAATGATTGCAATTGATGTTCTGTGTATGTTGATACTAACATTTGTCTGTTGCTTTTTTCCATAAAACTTTGAAATTACCCTCCCTGCAACTCCGTAGTATGTAGACGGAAAACCAGTACAGCCTGTTGTAGAACAAGAGGTATATTAACTGTAAACTCTCTTTAACGTTTATCTGTTGTGCTGTGATGGTATGGCTGTGTTTTCATTTTATATGGACTTTGTTTTAAAATGTTTGCATAGTTCCAGTACTGACAAACTCTGAGAACAGGTGTAAGGATTTGAAAGTTGACGTTGAAAGGACAAAACTCCTATACAGTGCCAGGGTCCTAGAGGAAAGGGAGACAGCTAGAAAAGTTCTGACAACAAAACCAGGTGATATTCAATGTATACTTTAATGTAACATACTGTCTGGCTGAAGTGGGAGGAGCAAATGAGGGAAGAGAAGATTGTGACAGCTAGAAAACTTTGTCAGCTGGCGACTGGATTTAAGCTGAATTATCTGTAAAAAGGAGCATGGAGGGGGGTTGTTGTTTTGATTTCTCAACTTTTAAAATATTATGTACTGGTCTGCAAATGCTGTGAGTGATTTGCTTTTGTATTTATTTATTTATTTTCCCTCTTTTAAAAAAAAAACAAAACAGAGTAAGCCACTTTTGAAAGGCAGCAAGTACCAAACCTTGCCGGGGAAGCTGCCTCGGCCCATACAGAACGGAGAGCAGGGAACGTATAATTCTCCAGATGGGTTTGGCACGAGTGACAATGAGGACAACAGCATCCTGGGACTAAGTACGTATCCCCACCTCTCTGAGTTGTAGTTATTTTAAGGCCTCGTGGTCCTAAAAGGTGCTGTACTTTCAAGATTTCAGTAGGTTGTGGGTTATTTAGGTTTGAGGGCAGGGGGGTTAAAGTTTTTCTGTGATTGCAACACTGTAGGCAATGCATGAGCCATGCTGTTATGTCCTTGACTGCAGGATTATCCAAGGATGGGTGATCTTGCAAAGGAAAATGTTCATTTTCTAGAAACAAGTAATGACTCCTTAAATACACTGAATTAACAGGATCTCTTATGCAGGTTGGTTTGTTTCTTGCACGTGCAATAAACTCATCACACCTACAATTCTGTATCTCATAGGAATTCGACGTAATCTTAGATATAGTGCTTCATTTCAGATATCCCGTAGGCTTTGTGGAGCTCTGTAGTTTATGTTTAATGTGTTAAAATTGACTAAGTTTTAATTTAGTCAATTTTAATTGTATTATTGAGAAATCATTAATATTTAATTATAATTAATATTAAACAAAATTGATTAGCTTTTAAAACTAAGAATAGTTATATTCTTGCTGTTAAACACTAAAAAAGACTACAACAGACAAGTGATCATCCCTACGTATTTAAGATGACCTGTACAGAAATTTTGGGGCACCTTCATGTCAAGCATAACTGCTTCTTTTCTTTTTGTTTCTGCTTTTAAAGCTTAGCTTACTTCTTTGCTCTTCTGTAACTTTATTTTGCTGGTGTTTTATATCTTTGCTTCTTCATCTGGCTTTCTGCTTCTTGGGATGACTGAAGATCGCATCAGGAGTGTCAGTGCACCAGTGCTAGGTACCGTATCCAAACAAGATGAAGCTTTAACATGATGCTGCTTACTTTTTTCCTTTCCTTTCTCCCTCCCTTACTCTACGAAATACTAATGCCAAGTGGGATATCCAGACTGAATTCCTTAAGTGCAGTATTGAGATGAAGTAACGGCTTCGCGTGGGATTTTTTTAAGATAATTGCTTCTGTTTTCATTCTGATTTCACGGAAGTCACCAGAATTTCCATTGATTTTGACAGAGGACTTACAGTATTAAGAATAGGCAAGGCAAGAGTCTGCTTCAATCTGAAGACTTTAAATAATGTATTTAAAAACAAATGACTGAAATAATACTATTCTACCCACTGTTTTATTGCTTTCTTTTTTGTATCAAATGTACAGCTCCTCTTTTTTCACCTTCTGAGCATGTTTGGGTTTTAATACAAGACCAATTTTATAGATATGTTTACTTTTTTATTATGTTCTACATTTCAACATTTTTCTCCCACATAACAACTTTGTTACCAATTAGTATAAAATGTTTATTACTGTTCTTAATCCAGGAGAAACAGAGAACGTGGATGATGCAGTAGTCTCGGATGACCTTTCCCCTCTTTCTTCGGGAACAGATTCAGGTCCACAATCTCCGTTGTCTCCAGAAAACAGAAAGAGTCCAAAAGGGATCAGGAAAATCTGGGGAAAGTAAGGTCATTTATTTTTAATTCTCTGTCAAATCATTTCAGCTGAGAAGTAATTCAGTTCTCCACAAAAGCTGCAGTATCTATAAAGTAAGATTCAGAAAGAGGAGGGAAAGCAGCTCTGTGTGATTGTACAAGCGTGTCTCTATGTACCCCCAAGTGTAGAAAATGGATGGTGGCGATCGCAGCGTTGTGCTCTTGGAAGAAATAAGACACTGCTGTCATCTTAATGCTGATAATGTGTAATGCCAACAGGTTGCATTAGCTACGAACAACTAAATAATACTGTTTGTTACAGAATGCATCAAGTGAAAAAATGAGAGAAAACAGAAGAACCAAAAAGCAGGGGGCCTGAGTTTTGCTGTGTTAACTTTAGGTACTTCAGGACAGCAGCCAGTCACAAGTCTGGCCTCCAGTGTGGATTATTAACTGGGCTGAAGGTGTACAGCTGCTCTGCAGAGCTTTCTCTTCCCTCAGAGTTGGGTGTAGACAGCATTTGCCTGGAATTTCCTTCAGCTACTCCTTGAATTCGATGTTTGCGGGAAGATTACAGGAAGATTAATACAGGTTCTAGCTGTCACTATATCAAATGAGTGTTCTCTGTTTTAAAGCTAATAGTTCTGTTGTGGCCCTCTTGTCTTGAAAGAATAAGAAGAACTCAGTCAGGTAACTTCCCTGCAGACGACCTGGGTTTGGCAGAGTTCCGAAGAGGCGGTCTCCGTGCAACAGCAGGACCTCGATTGTCCAGATCAAAGGACAACAAAGGCCAGAAAAGGTAATGGTTCTTTCTTTACCTTGCACATCAGATTGTGGTAGTTAAACATGCTGAACAGCCAAACTCTCCTCTTCTGAAATACATTTTTCCCAGTGTACTTCATTACATGTGGAAATCCACAACTGGAAAGAATTTCCGTGATAGGAACCATATCTGAAGTAGCTCCCCTGTGTGCACTGCTTCAGATGCAGCTCGCAGCATTAGCTGTTTGCAGGGAGTGTCAAAAATTTCACTTGGTTAAAGAACAAGAATACCTATCTCCCCTGGAGATACCTGCAGTTCCCTTTTTTCTCTTTTCAAATAGAAAAAGGGATATTCTTAATCACCCTCCCAGCCCCTGTTTGCAGGTTGGGGCTCTGGACAGCCCCATTACCAGCACGCCTGTATTTTACTATGGCACAGAGCAAAGCACATGAACAGACCCACTGTAGTACTGCCTCTGGCACATGACAAGTTTTTAGAGAATAACCAGAGTTCTTCCCTTTTAAGATTTTTTTTTTCAAACTTTTCTTGTACTTTTCAGTGACTACAATGCTCCATTTGCTCAGTGGAGCACTGAAAGAGTTTGTAACTGGCTTGAGGACTTTGGTCTTGGCCAGTACGTCATTTTTGCCCGGCAGTGGGTGACTTCAGGCCATACACTGTTAACTGCGACACCTCAGGACATGGAAAAGGTAATAATCTCTAACTGTTTCTCACAAGCAACCACACATGTTGAATATGTAGGCCCCTTCAAACAACTGTCAGTTCTACATTCTGAAATAGCTAGTATCAATTTTTGTAGATACCTAATGAGAGAGAAACTATTAGTTAATGGTTATCTTTGCAGGAAATGGGAATAAAGCATCCACTGCACAGGAAGAAATTAGTTTTGGCCATTAAATCAATAAACACCAAACAAGATGAGAAGTCGGCGCAACTTGATCATATCTGGGTGACACGTAAGTGAACTGTCCTGGAATTGTTTGGAAAGGAAATTCTCCCACTGCTATGGATGGGCTGCCTGATGTATGCTTGTTTAAGCAGTTACCGAGTATCTTTTTAAAAGCACTGAGGTTCATGTGAGTAGAATGAGGGGTTTTATGGTGTTCTGGACATCTAAATACACAGCTGTACTGTGTGATCTTCCAAGGGGAACTCTGGCATTCAGACTGCAGGGAAGTTGATGTGGGGAGCTCGGTCTAGCGAGAGCTGCCTTCTGCTGCAGAAAGCACGTGTTCAGTCACACACGCAGGTACAATATCACAGGCTGCGGCTGACAGAGCTGTTTGGTGGGAATTGCGTTTAGGGTTGTGGTCAGAGGCTGTCCTTTGGGAAGTGAATAGGTAGAACGAGCTACCCCAATGCCTCGGAAGCAGCCAGCCCAGACAGGAAGGGGAGAAGGACTTTGTTCTTTCTGATCTGGATGTGGGTACCCCAGTGTTGTTGTATCTGCAGGATGGCTTGATGATATTGGTTTACCTCAGTACAAAGACCAGTTCCATGAATCCAGAGTTGATGGGAGAATGTTGCAGTACTTAACTGTGGTAAGCTAAAATCCTTTTTGCTCAGTTTAACCAAGTTTAACTTCACAATGAGAAAATAATTTTACAATTTCTCCTTGAATGTGAGCAGTTTAAAGATTTTTTTTTCAAGGTGGAAACTGTGCCAGTAGTAACTGTCTCTTTTACAGAATGACCTGCTCTTTCTGAAAGTCACCAGCCAGTTGCATCACTTGAGTATTAAATGTGCCATTCATGTGCTGCATGTCAACGGTTTTAACCCCCACTGCCTGCGCAGGAGACCAGTTGAAGAGGTAAAAGAATGTTTAAATAAATTAATTTAAACAAGCATCGACTACCAGATTCCAGCCACAGGGGACAGAAAGTTTGCAGTGCACAGTGATACAACTGAATGACTGCTAGCAGGGAGCTGTGGCTTTCCAGCTCTGGAATGCAATGTGTACTCACTGATGATAAAAATCTGCTCAGTCCTTAAGTGAATTTCATGCACTTCTCTTTAAAAAATATTTCCTTAGTTTAAAGAAGTTCAATCAACTTCCAGTAAAATAATTTGGAATGTTCTTTCTTTGCGTCTCATAATTTTTAATCCTCAAGGACAGTTTTTGCCTTACCCAGTCAGCATAGCTTATTGCCTTTGTATTAACGACTGAAAATAATACTGTTGTCAAAATGCTCCCTTTTTAACACCTAGCACCTATAATCTCTACTGTACTACTTGATGTGATATATGTGGGGTTTTATCTGTACTAGACTATGCCATCCTATCAAAGGATGTTTGAAAAAGCCTTCAACAGAAACAGTATCTTTAGACTCTGGGAAAAATACTACTCTTTGAGTAAGCGGAGGGGACAGTGTTGTTACCTGAACTGCAGTTACATATTGTAAACATGCAGTGACAATACAGGCTATAGTGTCACCATCTTTTCTGGTCACTTCCACAGAATAACATTTCGCCTTCTGAAGTAGTTCAGTGGTCCAATCACAGAGTGATGGAATGGCTCAGATCAGTTGATCTGGCAGAATATGCACCAAACCTTCGAGGAAGTGGAGTGCACGGTGGCCTGATCGTAAGAATTGTTTTAACATTTTACTGCGGATCTACTGAAAAGTGACAGACTGCAATATAAAATGTCTTTTATCTGGTGTTTGTTTGTCAAGCAGGAGGAAACAAACACATCTGCAATACAACAGTATGATCAGACCTTCTAAATCACCTCTTTATCTGATCCATGCATCTTAATTTTTACAAAGGAAAACTAAAATAAAAAAGGAGCTGCTAAAACATTTTTTATAATCAAAGCTGAGCTCTGTGTGAATGTTTAGCAGCATTACATGAAAATCCCCCAAACCAAACTGTACTGTGGCAAAGTTATTTTTTGGTAAGGCATCACTGAGTGGGTTTTTTGAGTGGTTTTAATAGAATTCTGAGCCACGGTAAATAACTGTCCTGAAGTTGCAGCAGTCTTGCCAGCAATCAGGAATGACATTTTTTTAATTCAGAACATCCAGCTTAGTAAAATCAGAGTTCTGAAATGCCGTTATTCTAGTGCTGTAGGATTTTTGCCAAAATGCAATAGAAAAAATTGTGCTAAGTTTATAGTCTCAGCATAGAGCAGAAAATTCTGAAAATAAACTTGTTCAATCCAAACAAATATAAGGTTTGATGATAAATACATACTTGCCTTATCATGCCCTACACATTTCTTAGTGCCTACTTATATCCAGTTCAAACCCTACTGAATATTGCACGTGAGTTTTAAAAGGTCTAATATAGATAGATAGCTTAGAGTGAGAAATTCCTCTGGTACGTAGTGTAATCATTTACTATCGCAAATATTTAACCATATAAAAAAACTTCAAATATTCTGCCATGTTTCAATAGATCCTTGAACCTCGCTTCAATGGTGACACACTGGCAATGCTGCTGAATATTCCACCTCAAAAGACCCTACTGCGGCGCCACCTCACAACCAATTTCAACGTATTAATTGGACCAGAGACACAACAAGAAAAAAGAGAAATAACTGAGTCAGCAGCATACACACCTCTGACCACCACTGCCAAAGTTCGGGTATGTGCTGCTTTCAAAAAGGAGCTATTTCAGACTTCCTCTCCCGTCTTCTAAAGAAACTAAGGGACAAACATGGGCAGGGCAAGGTGACTTCTCTTGTTATATTTTCCTTAATTCTAGATACCAAAGCATTTGTTTCCTATCTGTTCAAATCTGCTTCTGAAATAGCATGCAATCACTTCTGTCTTTTCTTAGAAGCAATACCATCTAAAAATATTTAACATCAAATATAACTCCCAATTTGGAAACAATTACCTTTTAGTTCAGAATCTATGTACTTGAAGGACCAGGGTATTGCAGTAAATCAAAAAAGAGAACATCATGAATGTTTATTTTTCGTGCTCAAAAATTGTTGTCTTCTTATTTCAGCCAAAGAAACTTGGATTTTCACATTTTGGGAACTTAAGAAAAAAGAAATTTGATGAATCAACCGACTACATTTGTCCTGTGGATACAAACCCAGCTGCCACAAATGGTTCCCTGAAAAACTATGGTGGATACAAAGGACTTAGTCCGTTCACTGATAAGGAACTGGATCAGGTGGGACAGACAGACTGACGCCATTCTCATCTCATCCTCTCCATGCATTCCAAAGCTTGCAAATAACCAAACGTTAGCATATAACAAAGTATTTGCTACATCTGCATGAACTTATTGAGAAAGTATTGACGTATGGACACTGGGAAGAGTTCTGTACTAAGAATGTCAGATTAATTTTTTAAATCAGCATCATAAACTCATCCATCTTCAAGCCCTTTTTCAGGACTATAACACCTTTACACTAGGAAGATTGATGCATTTTCACAATTAAGGTGGTGGTTGCAGTAAACGCAAATCTTTCATACTTCTAGCTTTCATTATCTTATTATAGCACACTACTTTTTTCATTTTATGGGTGGTTTTTAATGTAATAAATTTATGTGGATTAATTTGTACAAAGCTATCAAGTTATATATTAAAATACAACTGGATTGTATATTTTTAAACAGACATTAATCAAAGAATCCAACCGAATTTTTCTTTATGTACAGTGGGGAGTAGTTACGTTTAGCTGGTATATGTGAAAACAAACATCAGTAATAGACAAGATTATTAATAAACCAATAACTTAAATAATTCACTTTTGTTACACAGTAGTGAGCTTGTGAATGAAACGGTTGAGACATCATACAGACAAATGATGAAGACTAAAGCCCATCAAATTTTATTCAACTTTGATGCTGTGTAAAGGAATGTAAACCCTGAAAAATGGAGCTCCTGGAGGCTTGTGTGAACTTGGACTACTACACACACAAGCCAGACAGAGGCAGTTGGGGTAACCTGTCCTACCTCCGGTGACCTTGAGTGAGATAAAAACATTTTAAGCCTGATGAGAGAATGGTCACAAAATTGAAAAGACTAACTCTAAGTCATGTTTTTTCATTTGCATGATTTACTGCATCTAACATGTCATTCATGTTCATTACCTAACCATTCTCTTTTTCAATGTGCACCTTAGTAAAATGAAGCAGAATGATACCAAATCCTGCCTGGCATTTTGTGTGGGTGTCCACTTGCACAGTTAAGAGCGGCAAATGACTGCATTAAATGAGCCAAGAGCTTACGCTATCCGGTTGTTCAGGCATTACAACAATACTGGGGTTTTTTTTCTCTAGGAGCAAGGTCTTCAGTTAAGCATGACTTCTGAGTGTGTGGTCATGCAGTGAAATCATAATGCCCTAGAACTGATAACCTTGTTAAATAAGAACAGGTAGGACTGTAGCATGAAGGACTCTTCTCACCTGTGAAGGGAGACTGCCTGAAGTATAGTAGTGTTACTACTTCACTATCAGTGAAGCTTTTTTGTTTCTTTTCCCTTTGTTTCTTTTCCTTTTGTTTCTTCTTGGTTTTTTTTTGTTTCCTCTCGTTGCCACTCTTTTCGTTTCCTCCTTTTGTTTCCTTTCCTTCTGTTTCTCTTTCTTTCTTGTTGTTTCTTTTTGGTTTTTGTTTTCCTCTCGTTTCTCTCTTCGTTTCTCTCCGTTTCTCTCCGTTTCTCTCGTTTCTTTTTGGTTTTTCTTTTCCTCTTTGTTTCTCTTCGTTTCTTCCTTCTTGCTTCTTTTTGTTTCTTTTTGCTTTCTGCTTTTTTTTCCATGAATTACAGCTCGAGTTTCATGAAATCAATCTTTCTTTATTCAGGATTCACACTTCTGGCATTAAATGCATTTTTACATACCTTAGAGCATGGCAGCATTTTTGTTAATGTGCAGAAATAGAACTTTAAACTTATCACAACTTCATTTGTCTAGGCACAGATACCTTCCAAAGCTGCATGTAGCATGAATAAAATTGCACATACTGTCTGATTTGAACTAGTTCCTGAATGCTTTTACAGATGGAACATTCAGAAGGAACAGTAATGCAAATAGGGGCTCTTTCTCAAGGCATAAGCCAGCTGACGGTATGTACTAATTTCACTCTCCTTTTAAAGTCACAAATGTATTCAGCTAGAATTCATTGCAAGTTTCTCATTGAAGGTGTGTACTTGGTACACACCTCTTTATAGCCTGGTTGCATATTCACAGTCCAAAAAAAAAAAAAAATCCTGCTTCTTAAATTGCACTTAAAATCAAGTTTCATTTATGCCTATTTTTAAGTTTTTGTGAACCACCATCAAATGCCTGTCACAGCAAAGTCTAGCAAAGAGGTACTTGAAAATTTACATAAGCTAAAACTTCATGGAAAACAAACAACATCACCACTAATTCCTGACTCCATAGCAGCTAATTTATAAAAAAGAAGAATAGTTGACGGAAAGGTATAATGAAGAGTTCTGTAACATAGTTGTCACATGCCACACACAAAATCTCTGTGAGAATTTCCTCAAGCAAAAACAGTTCATTTAAAGCTACATTCAAGAAATCCTGTTAATTTTATGTGGCTCTGACCCCCTCTGTTGTGAATCTTTCTTACCTCCTTACAGTTGGATTTCTAACCGAGCATGCTTAGTCCTTTGCACCTTGTTCTTTTCAGACCATGCTAAGCCAAGATGAAATGCTGAATGACAGCAGATTTTTAACACCTACCTTCGAAGACTGGAGATGATGTTTCAGTGTGACCAAGAACACTAATCATACCTCATGCCTGTCCAGAGGGGTGGCCAGGAGACACTTGACACTGTGGTGCAGAAAGGCTTTAACCCCTTTTCTGCCAAGAAGACTTACCACATAGCATTTAATATTGTCAATGTAGTGACACATTACAGGTAACTCTCACCCACACTATTTTCCACATTACATAATGTGAAATAGGTGTTGAGAGAGAAGTGGTACTTGTATCCAGAGTCCGGAAAGCCAAGACTTGCAATATATTTCACCCTTTTATTAAGTCATCTTTTACCTGTTCTGTTTTGTAATTTTTTTATTTTTATAATTAGACCAGTAATGAGTCTTGCATTACAAGTTATTGTACTGTGTGGACTAATCAGAGCCACCTGACGGGGGCAGGTGAGTGCAGCAATGGCTCGCTAACTACTGCTGCAGTCTTGCCAGAGACTGTTTCCCATAAATGGATTATTAATCTCTCATCCCTTTCATTAGCATATGTCCTGTACTCTTTTTGTCTAAGTAAGTGCAGTGTTGAAAGGGAAGAATGGAACATACTACTATCCACCAAGCCCTTGCTTTTACCAGGAGGATGACAAGGTGGCATGTTCACAAATCTTTACCTAACTCAAAAAGATGCTGAACAGCTACAGCAGGAAATAAAACTGAGACTACCAGAAAAACTCTTGGATACTAAAGTCAGTGCTTCAGGTTACTTTTTTATCATGTGATTTTTACATGCATGCTAAGAAGTTTGCTATCAAGGAGAAATCACAAAATTTAACAGATGTAAAATATAACTTTAGGAACAGTGTTCACTGCACTCCATATGGTAAAAGTACAACAGAATTTCCAGCATGATCCATTTTGGTTTTAAATGAGTTCTTTAACTAGAGCTATGGAACAGGGTCTTTCTTGTACATTGACATTTGTCTGAAATGGCTATTACTGACACATATGTGCAAGCATCAGGATGCTGATAAGCCTTCTGAACAGTCAAAGTGGTTCAGAGAGTTTTCTGAGCCCCAAAACACAGTACTGGCTCTCAGGAAGACAGGGATGGGTAATAAGCTAATTTTCTTTCTGTAGTTACACCTAATTAAACACATGGCTGCAAAGAGCACCCAGGACTGGAGATTACAGTAGAAACACTTTTGTAACGTTTGCATGAGAACTGGTGATGTTGTAAATAATACTGCTCTTCACTTTCAGTTCTCTTCTCATTCCAGCTAGATACATTTTCACTGAATATTTTATTTAGCAATAGGAGACAACCATTACCGCTCTGTGACGTGTAAAACATGATTAAGGAGCATCAGGCAAGTACCCTAATAAAACAAATCTTGTTTCTTCAGAACACCTGACAAAACAGATCTGTTTACATGCTAATACAGCCTGAGGGCAGGCCACTCCCAGCCACAGCCCTCCCAAATGAAGGGGAATCTCCAGCACTGTCCAGAATAAACAGCAAGGGCTCCTCACAAGCTGTCACTTTTAAAGGCGGCCTAGTCTACTCCTCACTCCATGAGCCTCTCGTGACAGACCCTGCATTGTATGGTCAGGTCAGATGTTAAAAACTAAACACATGATTTTATTGTCCAAAATGCTAAAACCAAGGCTAAAACTATTTCAGTCACTGACTAATGAAACAATAATGGACAATCCAGAAGAATAAGAAGTCAGTCTACACACGAGCAAATTAAAAACGCTTGGTAAAAGCTATTAACTGTACCAGTCAAGTACATCTCCAATCCGGCACTGCAGTCAGTACTAGTGACCAGACCCTGTACTATGTGCATTTGAAATACTATGTCAGGTTATTAGCCAGCAGACTTACTACAGCACCACAGATAGGATAAGCTGCTCCAGCAGAGGCAGCCTTAATATCACTGGGATATTCCAAGCAGATTTCCAGCTTGCTTTTGATGATGTATTTATAAGTAAATGTGTTGTTGTGCTAATTAACTTGGCTGTGAATAGTCAATCTACAAAATTATTGGGTTTTTTAAAATATATATATAGTAAGAAATCCTAATTATCATAATACTGGCCTAAATGCTTATTTTTTCGACTGTTACAAATAAATTCTTAATGTTCCTCCATCTCTTGCTGACTGTGGAATGATTCTAACACGAATATGTGTATTTGATCTCTCATCAGGGACAGAATCACAGTCTGCACTTCTGTGGTTTTGCATTATTGCTACAAAGGCAACTGATGAACTATAAAACCCGTATGTCAATTTCTCACTAGTAAATTCTTTTTGTTTTGCTTTAGATGAATAAAAATATTTAGTAAACATATTCATTAGTATCTGAAGAAACAAGTCCCATGGCTGGGAATTTGTCAGACCCTAAAACAAATGTACTGTAAACTAATTCCTGGAAATTAACATGCAGTACTTCAAGCACTATAGACTAAGAATTAAATTCTTAGTGACAGAAACACCGAGACAAGGCATTAGCAGAACAGATGATCGACTCAGCATAACTAAACAATAGGAAGCAAGAAGCAAAGCAAATTTCTGAAACTTCCAAAATAGCAAGCACTACACTTAGAGAATAACATTCAAATAACGTAACATCACTGGATAGTTCTGTGTATGCAGCCCACAACCTCCACATATAGTTGGCAGTGATTTTTTAGCAAAAAAAAGATGGCATGAAGTTAGGTAATCCTCCTGAACACATTTCGCCCTAATAAGAATTTCTTTTACAATAATAAGCAATTTGCATGTTACCCAGATTCTGTTCTCATTTTCAATAGCAATAGTGCCTTCTTTCTTAGTCCCTGGTAAAGGGCTGTAAATCAGCATTAAAACAAACAAACAAAAAACCCACTACCCACTGTTCTTTGTACACTCCTTCCCCAGGATTCACTAAATGAATTACCTGTACAGCACTGTCAAATAATCCTAGTCCAGTTTTATAGCGCTCTCTCAAATTCCATACCCATCTTAACAAACAAGTGGTTTTATCTCTGTCCTACTTTGCCAATTAAACTATTTTTTTCCTCAGAATTAACATTTCATACTAACTTAAGAGGTAAGATTAAGTTACTTCAACACAATTCAAGATGAACTCTCACCTTCATATTAAAACATGCAAAGGTAACTATATTATAAACCACAGATATTAAGTTATATGGATAAAAATCACACACACCTCAAAAACCAAAACCGGGAATACTGCATAGTTACGTACCAGTTGTTCCTGTGGGAAAACGCACAGTACTTAGGACAAGGTATCAGATGACATCAGTGTTAATAAGAAAATGTACTGCTCTTGGGATAGCCAAGTTTGTCCAGGTTGGGCTGGCACGCAAACTGAATCATAGCGGGGGGTCCACACATAAGAATGAGCGTTTCGCTCCTGGGAGGAGGAAGGTGGGTTTTAATCATGTCTGCAGTGACAAAGCCAGAACCGTACTTCCAATCTGAAACAAAGAATTACAGTATTAATTTGAATCTCTGTACAGTCTGAAGCCTTCTTAAGTTGCGTCTGTTGTACTCACAAAGTGCTTGAAGAACCAGCACAGTTATGCCACTGCAAGCCAGGAGAGGGGTAAATCTCTCACTGAGCTCAAATCTAGTGGTCCCCTTCGATAGGGACAACAAGCATGTGGATAACAAGGATCTGGTTGACAATACATAAAATTCTGTGAATAAATGATAGATTTAAAAGAAATTAGATTATAGGAATCAACAGAAAGACTAAATCAGCTTTTCCTTTGAAGAGAGTTCACCTAGGGGCAGTTGTGCAGGGAGAGGAGGCACTGAGACCTGTGCCATCAAACACATGTTAAAAAAAATCATGGGGTGACAAAGTTTGGTGATGACAAAAGTTTTGCCATGTAGTTAAGTGATAAGTTAAAAAAAAAAAAAAAGGAAAGACATACTAAATGATTTCAAATAGTAATATTGAATGAGTCTGTGACTTAAAGCAAGCCAAACAGGAAAACCAATCCTGCTTTCATAGATTGGGGTGATGAAAACAGCAGCAGTCAAAAGGCATGTGAAATGTTAAGTATCAGGAAAGGAAGAGGGCACACCGTGCCGAAGTAAAAATACAGTTTGCCTGCATCTTGACTACCGGTGTTCAGTTCTGATCTGCTCAGCTCAGAAAAGGGACACATTCCAAGCTGGGAAACATTAAGAGAACCAGGCCGAGCAAAGGTACATAATCACTGCTACGTGGGGGAGCCCAGCAGTCTTCAGTATAGAGAAGATGGGACAGCAGGGGTGATTGATAGATGTCTGTAAAATCAGTAACACGACGGCACCTATTCACGCTCTCTTTCAACACAAGAATTAAGAGGCATATGCAAACCAGAAGTCATTCTTCACAGAAAAGTGCTAATTCTACAGAACCACTAACAGACTGCAAAAAACCTCATACGAGCTGTAAAGGCAACACTAATTTCTTATAAAAGTAGTCCACTGGGGGCTGTTATATCTGGAGAGACACATTTGGCTCAGAACGGAGAACAGCAGAAGAGTATCAAGACCTGCTGATTACTCTTCTCTGGCCATCTACTGTTCCTGTCAACAGATACAGAACTTTGATCTGTCTCATTTTGGCTTTTACATCTGTTAAATAAAAGCTTACATCACCTGGAATATCAACAAAGATAAATACTCAAGTTTCAAAGGAGATTGAGTAGAGTTCAGCCTCTGCCGCCATTTAGTTAATGCCTCAATCTATACATGTGGCAGCTCTGTTTTACAGAATCTAATCTAAAGTTGCTGCAAAACAAAGATGTGCATGTACTATTTGCAGGCATTAAGCAATTTAATGCCAACAAAATGCTAACATAACCTGATTAAGGAGACAGCCCAAAACAGCTGTAACTTTTGCTCACAAGTCCCCCAAACTGGCCACTGAGCAACGTGTCTGACCCAACCAAAGTTAATTACTAGTTCACACTTTCTAAGGCCCACCAGGCACAGACCACGTTCCAAAGTAGGTGTTGTGGTAAGGCTTGTTTCCAAGAGGTTGCAGGGCTCTTTGTTGTTTAAAAGTTTAAGACAAGAAGACTTGATATTACACTAATGGCCCCTTGAACAAAAGTGAAACTTGGACTGTTGTACTACAACGAGCAAAGGCATTTCCAGTGTGTAGCAGCAGCCTACCTTGTGGAGGTCTGTCCAGCGTATACCAAAGCGTGAACTGATCAGGATGCCTCTTGGCAATGTCTTCTAGCTCAGCTCTCAGTAATATATCCTTTTCTGTCTGCAAAATGAGACTGCTGTTTAGCTCCTAACCATCTCAGGATGCCCTCTAATGCGAGCTCATCTGGCATTCAACAAGACAAATGCAATGATAACTCATTCAAACCAAGAAGTGATTTTTTTCCTCCCTTTACATGACAGCTATTATCATTACAGGCTTCTCTGAATTTAGATTAAGAACAACAACCTATGAGACTTAATAACCACCTAAACATTGTCTTAAAGATGGCAATTTGAACAACTTTTTAATCTAAGCTAAAATCACAGTTAGCCAAACTTGTTTCTGACCCTGGCAAGTATGGCCCAGTACCAGCATGCTGAAGGTTAACTGTAGAAACAGATTAATGGAACAAAGCCATGTTTCCTTGAAATCAGTGAAGGCATAAAATGAGTAGAGAGATCAGAATCTGCTCATACTATTTATTCCCTAACATAGGAAATCAGAGAGTACAAGTGAAACTATGGGGAGCCACCTTCAAAGCAAATACAAGATGATCTTAGGAACTACAGTAGCACCACACAAGTATTTATAAAAGGCCTCATGGATAATTTTTTTTATTCAGTTTCTCCTTAAATCCTTTTAACCCAAGTCTATATGAAGAGCTTACATAAGTACCTTTTCCTGCTCCTCCATGTACTCATCATCTTAGATATTTTCTCCTGAAGAGTTGGGTGAAAATAAAAACCCAAAGACACTGGAAGAGTATGAAAAATGCAGAGCAGTATTTTCTCCAGTTGTCAGTGTCCCAGCAGTTTAAAAAGCTCCGAGACCAGGAAAAAAAATACACCATTAAAAAATGACAAACAGATGAATCCATATACTCACCTGATTAGCAAAAAGAAGGTAACATTTTGTGGAGTCCTTAGGATTGCTTGTGATACAACGAATCAGCTGCAACATAGGAGTTATTCCTGTTAAAAAACAAAGTGGTTAAAAAAAAAGGGTATTTCTTTCTACACCTGCAGATTCAGTACTAATGCTGCCTTCCTTCAGTCTTCAGTGGAAGTTTAGTTTGCACAGGGCTACACACCTCTGATTTTCTAACCATGACAAATACAGAGGATGAGGGTTTCTATTACTAAAACTAATTTCAAAACAAAAACTAGATGACAATATTTGTATCTGGGGATTTCCTCTTCATTATTCTCTATCCTATACGGTAATTTTACCCTCAAGACATTCTCCTAAAATATTTTTTGTCAGTGAGACTGAAGCTCAGGAAGATTAAGTGGCTTCTCTGAGGTCACATGGTAAATCCAGATTCAAACTCTGAAGTTGCTAGCTCCCAGGACTGAACTCAAGCCACTGGAAAGCTTCATTGTTGCCAAACCCTTGCTAAAAGACATGCAGGTGCAAGTGCTCTGTTGCTAAAACACAGTGTTTGAAATTCCTCACACATATCCATAAAGATGTCTTTGTTCTCTAGATGTCCCCTATGATGAAAATAGTTTTACCTGTTCCTCCAGCTATCATCCCAAGATGCTTTGCAAACTTCTTCTCTGCTTCAGACTTCTTATGAGGCTTGATAAGAAAGGTACCTAGGAGAAATATTCAGAACCTGTAGGTACCTAGCTTTGAACAACTGATTTACTCTTTTCCCGCTCTCCAACATCATTTACAGAAGAACTCGAGGATTTCCACAGCACTGCCTAGAACACAACTTGGCAACTGTGAATGTTTGTGGTAGCTAAAGGTAACTACAGCCCCTACTAGAAAGAAACGGGTTATTTAGACCATCCTCATCATCCTCGCTTGTACCATGGATCTAGCCATTTGTGTGTCCCCACATTCGACGAAGCTGTAATTAAACCAGCATCAGGCAAGAACCCCTGCAACAATTAGAATCCAAAATGTTGGAGTTTTATCAAGTACTTTTATCAAGTACTTTATTATTGTAATTCATTTCCAGTTAATGAGAAGCCCATGACACTTGGTCAGCTGGATACCTTCTAGTATCCTGTGATGAGAAGATCTTGCCAATTTCTGCCATTGCTTCAGCACTGTCACAAAACCAGGCAGTTTATCGTTATCACCAAGGACCAAGTGAAGTGAAAAGCTTATAAAAAGTATCTTATATGAAAAGTACCTGTCATATTGCAATCACCTTTTAAAGAAATCTATAACTAGTACCAAGCCTTCCTAGCTACCACTCTTTAGAGCAGCCAAAGCAGAGCAGCAAGGAACATTTGTAAAACATGCATCCCTTGTTTCCTCTGAGATATAACAGATTCATTGGCATGTTACTCATCATAAATGGTCAGGATCCAAAGAAACGCTGAGCCCTTATCCCCCTGAAGTAGGAGTTAAGTGCACAGTCCCTCTCCATTAAGATCAAACCAAAATCTTTCACTTGCATCTCTGAAAGAGGATTACTTCTCTGAACTTATTTTCCCCCAGTCGATTCAGACCTGGTTTAATCATGAAATGAAGCTGGCTCTCAGCCAGATTATTCAGGAACAACACTGAGATTCAGAGAACATTTTAGGCCACAACATCCGTTTATTAAGAAACATCTGGAACATCTCCATATGTATAGCTGAGGTACTATTTCCAGCACAGCCTTCTCAGTAATACAATGTGACAGTGATTTTCTTAAATTGTACTATATTGTCCCAGAAGTGAGAAAACAACCAGCTATTCCTCACACAAACTAAACACAAAGTCCACTTTCCCACCATATCAACTCTGATGGGCTCTTAGTCAAGATCAGGACAGGTGGATTTTTTTCTTTTCCACTTTTTAAAAAGGATTCTCTCCAAAGTTGTCAAGTTTTACAAAACACCTCTGAAAATAACCAGTACAAGTTCCTCTGTTTTGCTCTCCCATATTCATGGCACAGTACCTGCCCCCTTGTAGACAAGGAGTCCATTTGGCCCTCTGAAGTCCATGGTATCTCCAATCTTCATGTCATTTAGGTACTGGGACATCTTTCCACCTTCTGGAAACTTGGGATTCACATCTTTGTGGTAGACCTGTAAAAACAATAATTCGTATGATATCAAGCACAAGCTTTCCTGCAGACAGCATTACAAGCTGTGCAACGCAACACTGCAGATCTGAAGTACAGCATCTAAGAAAGTAATTGAGACAATCCTTTGCTCTCAAGTTGTCTGCTGTGGCCTGCAACAGGAAGCAGCCAAAGGTAGCAAAATGCTCTATTGTGCACATGTCCCTGGGCTCCCTGCTAAGAGCCACACTCACAGGAACAGGTGGCGGGCAGATTATTATGCCAGCAAGAACGTTATGTCACCCCATTTTTGTAATTGCTCCTTCTGAAAATAGCACTGCTGCATCTTTTTAGGACTTTCCCAGAGACCTGAGCCACATGATAGATTTTTCACCTTTCAAAGCATGTAAGTATCGAGCAGTTAATGTGTACTTGTAACATGAAGAAGAGTGTGCAAAAAAAGCCCAGGTTTTTGCTTAACGACAGACTCTATCATAGAAAAGGATTAGAAAATCCGGAAGTCCTGCAATCAAATCGCCCTGCATTCCCTAGCTTAAAAGGTTTCCCTTGTTTCTCTACATGGTATTTGCTTAACCAATAAACCCATTAGCACAACTTCTGACATTTACAGACATGTAACAGCAATCTCTGTAGGGTCACCAAAGATAGCAGGTCTTACTGACTTGTTTTCTACTTACAGCTATTAGCAGTAAGTACCAGTAGCAGCATGAACAGCTTCAAGAAGAGTGATCAGTACTTGAGAGTTGGCAATTTATGGTTTTTTTTTAAAAAAAAAAGGTTAAAAAAACCTATGGAAGTTCATGCATGACTGCCAAGGAAGCAATTGCCTTCTCCATCTATCCTACCTCTGCTCTCTCCCAAGGACATACAGCAGATACACAGAATACAACTTACTATTCAAGAATAATGTGAAATGAGTTGTTTGCCAAGCAGTCATCCTATTCAAAAGAAGATCAATCAAAAAAACTCTGTATTTTACTAAAATTAGGTACTTTCCTTCCTTCCAGTTAGCAATTTATCTATATTAAAAGAAACCAAAATTTACCTTTACAATTAAATCAACATAACCTTTTGTCTCATCACTGGAAACTGGGGTATAGGCTCGAATCACCAGATTACCACCGATTTTTGCAGAGAGGTAAACATGCTGGCCTAGGGAGAAATAATTACAGTCTGATTATTTATTTTTTCATCTCATTTCAAACTTTTATGAGGCCTGAAGGCCAAGAGAAGAGAGAAAAGCAGGTGTCATAACCTGTTAAACACAAGCAATGATGTAGGAAAATCTTTACCACATAAACACTGCATAAAACACCTAGTCTCTTCTTTTTTCAGTAAGAGTTTCTGGAGCGCAGCATAACCAAGGAGAACCAATACATTACAGAATCAAGGATAAGATATGAGGAAAGTAAAAACGTTTTAGTGAAATACTGATATAGATTGCTGCTCATTCTCAAATGTTCTCGGTATTTTGGGTTCTGGTGTTCTCATATTCATTAATGATGTGGAAGTAAGGATACAACAGTTCATGTAGGCAAAGAAATAAGTATTAGGGTTTAATAACAGCAGTCTCTCAGAGCAAACTGCCCAGAGATTCTGCATTAAGACATCAAGAACAAAGCCTTGGACTATATTCCTTCTCCATAACGCTGTGGTTTCCACAGCACTGGGCACTGCTATCCCCAGAGAGCTCTTTGCCCAACCTAATGGTCCAGGAGGCATACTCCAAGAGGCATCTATTTCTTTCTGCTAATTAAAAGAACTGAAACACCTTGCCCAAGAGTAATCTCCTCATCCAGACAGCACTAATCTAGTATTGTATGGGAAAACAAAAAGCAGGAAAGGTGCTCGCAGAAAACACCTTCTTTTTTAGCAAAATAATCCTGGTAAAAAGCAGAAGGCAGGATTCTCCCAAGAACTAATTTGACCCATACAATTTCAAGATCCTATTCCTAAATTCTTAAGAATAAAGCCTGGATGAACATAAACACTGCAGGATACATCTCAGTCTATCATTTGCCTAGTTAATGTGGACAGTTCAACTACACTTTCCCACACAAACCAGAACAGCACGTGGAGAGCCTGCTGTCCTTGACAGGCAGTATGCAAGAAGGACAGTGCTCACAGCATGGAATGGGAAAGACCCTGACACTTGCCATACAGTACAGGGAACTGCGCAACAGCACAGAACAAACAGGGCTACCTCTGCCACACCTGCAGATCAGAGAAGAGAGTCTGTTCCCTGCACAGATTGCCGTTAATTCAAGGTACAATGTCATCACCATTGCAGGATCAAGGAAAGACAACTGTGCCAATTCTAGCCTGAAATGAACTTTGTGCTACAGAAAGCAAGACAAAGTTGTACACACATGTATGTAAAGCAAAGGTAAGCGCACACACAGAAAAGGCTCTGAGTATTTCAGCATCTCTACCATACAGAGGTTGTATCTGCCCCTTTGTTCTGCACAGAACAGTTACAAGTTTCCCAGGCAGAAGAGTTGTTCTCTTTCTCATTTGTGACTGTATTCACCAAAAGCATGAGGGAAGTTCACAGTAATAAACTGAAGGCACCAGAAAGTAGAATGCAAATAAGAAACATGAAAAAGCTTTGACAGATACCATTCTTGCTTATATCGTGACCAGTGACAAATTCCATCAGACTCGGTTCAGTTTCACTGATCTTGTTCTAAACAACACACAGTTTAACACAAGCAAAACAAAGCCCACACAACAGATCAGAAACACAACCCTTCAGGAAATCTGACATTTCCCTTTGACACAGCTTTAAACTCCTTGTTTTACCAAGCCTTAAATTACCAATCAGAAGTGTTTTCAGTGCTTACCCACAGGTAATCCTAATATATGATCTGGTGAAGGTAGCCCAAATCGGAATTTCTTAGTATCATGACTTATTTCCTAAAAAAACAAACAAAATCAGAACAAGGCCAACACCACCATCGCTTTGAATTTCAAACCCTATTCAACACGACATGCTTTAGTAAGCCTGTTCTTTGTTAGCATGCAAGCCAAACGCTAGGAGGGGAAGCAGTAACCGCTTTGAAAAATAAACTTGAAACACAAGTTTTCTAAGTCCTTTCCTCTTTAATTCCACAAGGAGTGACTTCTGCTGTCTGTACAATCCCTACAGCAACTTTACACAAAGAAAATCTGGAAACTCTCTATTGCCCAAGGCCAATTTCATAGTTTGTGGTCAAAGATCACGCAGGACATGACGTGCAGAAGCATGGGCTGATGGAAACCTGCTGGACAGAAACCAAGGCAGAAATACAGCTCTAAACCAGGACTTCAGCGTGCGAAAAATTGACTTTACCCTTCTCTTGAAACAACTGTAACGCCGCAGCATGGGCATAAATGCTCTTGAGAACCCTGCACCCAGGGCTCTGCACTTCTCTGGCCACCAGGCTGGGGCAACTCAGGCAGAACCGCCCC